CCCCAAAACCCCAAAACCCCAAAACCCCAAAACCCCATTCTGCACCAATTTGATTGAAGATTTAATACTAATTCATAACTTAGGAGGTCATACTAAAAAATGGCTTAAGCCTTAGGCTGCATCTTTGTGTCTTTCTGAGTAGCTTGACCCCTAGCTTTCTCTGATTCTGGGCTTTCTGGTCCCTTATCTGCTGTTGTGAAATCATTGGAAGGCTGCTCTATCTTGCTTTCTTTCCTACTGTCTTTATGACTTATAGGATCTTTCTTGCTTTCTACAACTTTAGATTCATTCTTTTCATTATTACTTCATTCATTAGGCTTCTGATTTGCTTTATCAAAATCTTTATTGAGGGTTTGATCTTTTGGTCTTAGAGTATTTTTGGACTCTGTTGGAAATGGAGTATCTGAACCCCATCCTTTGCCTTCATCTTCCTTCTTCTCATTTGATTTCCTATTCCTCTTCTTTATTTGAGGTGATATTGAGCGGCTTTGAGATCTTTTTCTCTTAGATCTACTTCTTGAAGCTTCTTTGCTGTATGAGCTGGGAGATCTTCTCCTTGTTTTCCTATTTCTTCTGCGTCTTTTGTATCTATCTCTTGATCTTGAGTACTTTCTTCTGTACCTTTTTGGTGCTCTATTTCTTCTGTAGCTTCGTCTTCTTCCTCTTGAGATGCTGCGGGAATCTCTTCTTCTTGACAGACTTCTTGAGTCTCTTCTTCTAGAGTAGATATCTCTTGAGTTTCTTGGAGATCTTTTACTTGACCTCCTAGGGCTCTCTTTTGAGAGTGACCTTAGTCTAGACTCATTTCCAAATTTCTTGGCAGGATCTTTAGAATCTGGGAGATCCTTCCATGATTCAGGCTTGTTTCTTTGGTTCGATAAGCTCCTTCTTGAGTTAAAACTTGGAGATTTAGATTTTTTGGATAAGGATCTATCTCTCTGTTTTTCTTGATTCTTCTTCAGAGGTGATCTGGAGTCCCTCCTACTAATATTTGACCTACTTCTTTTTCTAGGTGTAGAATTTTCACTTCTTCCTTTCGAAAAAGATCTACTCCTTTTTGAGTGAGATCTATTTATTTTTGGAAGAGGCCTTTCTGTCCTCCAACCTGGAGGTAGCTCTCTTTCTTTGCTTGAAATTGACCTGCTTTTTCTTCTCTCAGGTTCACTTCTTTTTCTTGATTTGTAATCTCGGCTATCAGATCTTCTAGATCTTGATTTTGGAGTTAGCGAACTTCTTCTGCTGTCACTACGACTGTAGCTTTTGCTGTCTCTTCTTCTTCTTTTGAATTTTCTTCTTGAAGAGGATCTTTTTCTTCTAATCTTTCTGTAATCACTTCTTCTCTCGTAACTACGACCTGCAACGCTGCCTTCACTTCTATTTTCAGGGCAATTTCTTTGCTTATGGCCAATCTGTCCTCAGTTATAACATTCTCCGCTATAGCCTTTGTGACACTCTTGAGCCCAATGGCCTATCTCATTTCACTTGTATCATGCATCTCTGTTTTTCTTGTTCTTATTGCTGCTTTTGCACCACTCTACTACGATGGGTCTCTGAAATAAGAGCTTCTGATCTCATTTCCTTAGAGCGTACTCAGCATCTTCTTCATTGGAAAATTCAACAAAGCCAAACTTGTTCTTGACGATCCTGACACTATGGATGTGTCCATACTTGCCAAACATGTCTTCTAGGTCTGATTCATGGACTTTGCTGCTTAGGTTGCCAACGTATAAGCTTCTGTGTGTTCCTGATGACTCTGACATTTTCAAAAATTTAACTGGAAATATATTTTTACACAGATCTCAATTATTAGAAGCTTTAAAGGGGTTTTGGGGTTTTGGGGTTTTGGGGTTTTGGGG